TATGCCTAACTTCAACCATCATAGTTTTTCCAGGAGTTGAAATAATGAATCTTGCTGTAAGTGACTAGCGAGTAGGTCTTGGACTACAGAAGACCATGACACTTCAATTATATCCAGTAAAGATTAATATATTGCTCATTCAAATTGCTACCTGACTTGGAAGTTACACCAAAAATGTTAATAATAACTAATAGGTTCTCTTAATCACTATTCTTTAAAATAAGCACGTAGCTGAGAATGGATCGGATGAGGAGGTCAGATAGTAAGAGAACAGTAGTTCTCCATGGAAACACACTGTGACCCAGAAAATCTTCATGGAGTAAGTCCAGCTTTTCAATACACTTGAAATGATCACAGCAGTGTTGCATGGAACCTCTGCCCTTCTGGAGAGCAAGAGCTATAGAGACACAGAAAATAAAGCTGGATTTGTCCAGCAAATAATGTGATTTTGAGAAAGCGAGTTGCTGGTAGCTGCCTTGCCCAGGAAGAATTCCATGCCAAAGGAAAACAGGGAGAATGGTTCCTCCACCAGCTTGCCCATGCTGAAAGATGTATAAGGAAGTTCAGCCTGCAGATGACATACTGAAGTAACTGCCTTTAGAAAAGAAAAATCCTTTGTGTACAATATTATACAGAACATCTGGACAGTTCAAGAGAAATATCTCTTTTTTTTTTTAAGTTCAAAAGCAAGTACAAAGAAGGTAGGTGGGCAGCAACATCCTGAGTTTTGAGAAGCTAAAACAAACCAGTGTGGTATACTCTCACCAGGTAATGCTTCTGAGTTCAAATCCACAGCTGTCTTTTTTTTTTTTAAGGAGATGTACACACAAACTTTTTCATATTTGTAAGTCCATTTGCTCTCCCACATTTTAAATAAAAGTGGCCCAAAACTTTTCACATTTTGAAAACCAAGTCTTTTTTGAAGGTGTAATTCTCTCCAGAAAAAAAAATCTTCTGAATTTGTAAGGCTCTGATATGTAACAAACTGCTCTTTTGTCCTGTCCCAGATCATGACATAGGAAAAAAGGAGATCAAGCCTCGTCCATTTGGCATTCAGGAGACATGTGGCAAGAAACTTTATGCTTTGCAAGCAGCATTCCTGACACCAAAAAGTATTTATTGTAGCAAACAAGCCTCCAGTCAGGATTTCCTATCAACAGATTTACAGTGAATTTGGGGTGAACATTCATGACAGACTACCATACTCTTGCTCATAAAAAAATGGTAGGATCACCACCATCTCAAAAAAGGTCCTCACTTAACTGGCAATGGCAAGCTAAGAACTTGATTGCTGGAGTTGACGGCAGTGAACAGTAATGTTGACGTAAAAGTAGATCTGGAGCAGGTCACCCTTCTCCTGTTCCATGCTACATGACTATTTTCCTGAGATTGAGTTCCTACATATGTGCCGAGGTTTGCTCTATTTGCCAATGAACCCAGATGCTTGAGATACCACAACTGCCTTTGACATCAAGTGAGAGGACACCTTAAATCCTGGTGTTGAAGCTAAATCTTTCTTCCGTTATCAACTTTTTTGCAGTTATTTCAGGAGTTGCTTTTCAGCTTAACAACACGTCAGGCAATGTGTACTTGTTTACAAGGAGAATTCTAGAATTAACTTTCACTGTTCCTAACATTACTTTCCAAGAAGTGGCGTATTAACTTTGCATCTCAGTTTCAAGCTGCAGAGAATGATCAGCATGCCAAACGCCGATTTGGAACACAGAGTTCTCTCTAGCATAAACTACTCTGCAACTGTACACATACTAACAGCATTTGGTCTCCTAACTCCTAACAGATTGGGCAAGTCTTGCAGCATGACAAGGCAACGCTTGACACAGTGTATAGGCATACACAAAGAAACTCTGCATGGACAATTACTGGGGGTGAAAAGATATGGGAAAGGGGGATCCAAAGAGAACTATTCGGTCCACGGGTTTTATCGGTCCACGAGTTTTATCGGTCCACGAGTTTCACACAGCAGGTAGCAAAGTGGTTCTGGAGACTCACAGATGACTTTGGAATTTCAATTAAGCTAAAACCTAATGAGTTAACTAATACTGGGTAGATACAGAACACCACTGCAGTTTCCTTCTTTCTTCTTAAGAATTTAGGGATGTACTCCTCCTGGGGTCAGCTTCCAGGGCGATCTCAGAGTGTGAGGCCAGCATCACACTTAGCTGAAATAGTCTCTCTTCTTTCATACAAGTGATAGCGTATCAATGTTAGCTGACTGCTTGCAGGGGCAGTTTCAGCATGCATTTCCAAGCTTTTCTTGCTATTATTAAAGCAGCTGAGCTTTGGATAAGTCTTGAAGAGTTGAAACAAAACATGGGCCTTTACGGCACCTCTTAAGACAGCAAAACAGTAGTTCAAACACAAAAAAACCCTACACCCTGGCAATTCAGTTCAAGCAATACAGGCAGGATGCAGGAGGTAAGAGTGCTGTTGAGAGCACTACAGGATTAACTCAGGCGTTGTGACTTCAGGTGCATGGAAGTTCAACTCCAAGTGTAATGAGAAACTAAGACATCAGCATGCTTCTATGAAGTTTCCTGAATTGCTTTGTAATTTAGAAGTTGCCTGCCTTGTACTGAAAAATAGCTACATCTACTATCCTTTCTGTTGATTTATACTCAGGATATGGCAAACTGGAACCATAAGACCTCATAGTCAAGATCCTCAGAAATAATCTATGCTGAAATACCTTATTTTTGGCACATTACCAATCAGTAGAGTCCTTGGCCCTGAGTTAGGCACCTAAGGAAGCCCTGCTGAGAAAATATATGATGGAGAAGCCATGTAAAATACAGATAAAGGCAGATGTTTGATCGCATCTGTCTTCACTATTAATACTCTATGGCCCATTCCCAGAACCAAACATAACTTGGTTTTTAGCCAGACTCCAAACTCAAAAAGTACTTTGAGCACAAATGCCTGTCTCTTACAGCAATGCTCTAACCAGCTGGCTGCTGGCTATTTTATAAAGATATGCAACCTCAGTAAATTCAGGTGCTTTTTTGTTCTAACTGCACTTGCATCAGAAAGCATGGCTACATAACCAGATTCTGCTTCTAAGAGGGGCAAGGACCTACTAATTTGGGTCATCTTTCATATTATTCAAGATCTTGTCTTGACCAGATGTCCAATCAGTACGCTGGGAAGCAGCGCAGGCATGCACACTTCTGCCAGCGTCTCTGCACTGTGCTACAGACACCACCAGGACCAGAAAACATTTGAGGATCCATTCGGAAAGCGTCGCTGACACGTAAATGTTAGCTGCAACACCTAGAGAGGCAGAAACATGCCTCAGTTTCATGAGCATGTGACTTGATGGTGGCAGTTAAAAAAGAAAGGGGATAGAACCAGCAAGCAGCAGCATTGTGACTGAACATCCCTCGCCTAGTTTGGCCTTTGACCTTATTGATCTAATTCCAAAAGGCAGGTAATAGCTTCACCGTTGCTTTAGAGCGCCTGGCAAGCACAAAACAGGCCCCTCCCTGAGGGGAGGAAATTCAACCAGCAGAGAAAACATCTGCCCAGTCACAGGCCCTCGGCTAGACATTAGATAAGTGATACAGTGGTGTTACAGAAGACAGTTGCCGACGCATTTTCAGCAGAACAGGTACAAAGAGCGAGCTGTGCCACCACACACCTGCAGAAGGCTGACCTCCTCCTAAGCAACACGGCGGAGGCAACACCTAGTAATTTTCGAAAACCTCGCTGAGAAAAACGCTAGAGCTTCCTGGCTGTATGGGCAAAATGACAGGACCATAAAGAGAAAAACAGGACCCTCAAGCTGCTGGGTAAGTTGGGAAAGGTCGAGGAACCCAGGACGCCCAGGTAACATTTAACCCGCAAGGCGGACTGTGGGTAGGCTTGGTTTTATAGAGAAGGGGAGAACACACAAAGCCTCTTTCCTCCCCAACATCCAAAGAAATTCAGGTATTTACTCACACGTGAGATGCTCCCGGAAGCCCGACTTCACTCCTTCGCGCTTTCCTACGAACCAGCCCTCCTCCTGCCCGCCGCTCCGCG